ACACATCTGCCTGGAGGATGCATCATTTCATTGCTGCTCCTGAAGCACCACGTGGACCTCTGGCCTTCGGTATGTTTGCACTGCCCGTCTACAGTGACCTGGTCCTCCACCTATGGCCACCAAAAACCCTCATTATCACAAGCTGCCCTTGTTTGTGAGTATCTAAGGCCTTACTTCATATTGAGCATAGTTGCATTACTGCTGTACGGAAGCAATATGTCTTTCCTAAGACACAGAAAGGACAGTCCCATGCCCACGCAGAGGCATCCCCCATGTCCACATGGACCTCCATGTCCACTTAGGACTTCTTAGTTCTTTGTGCTCAGGTACTGGGGCATTCTTTCCACAGTGTCTCGGGTTATACCCAGCAGAGTCTGAGCCCTCAGATCAGACTGTGCCTGCATTATTGTCACATCTCTGATTTAGAGTCCCAACAGTCTATCTCTGAAGAGACTGGCTTAAAGGCACCGCAGTCTCCTCCTGTTGACTCAGATTTACAGGGGATTGTTTTAAATCTCATTGATGCAGTGCATATTACCCTACACCTGGAAGATCACCCTGCTGTTCCAGGTCTTGTGTCTTTTAGAGCTCCTACAGCTGCAAAAATCTTTCCGCTACACCCACTATTTGACTTGTTCCGCACACTGAAGGAAAAAGTTTTAGTCACTATGTCGCCCAGAAGAAGGAACCCTGCGTGGCCCCGAAACATTGGCTGTTTGACGCATGTGACAATTTAATAAAAAGTGCTTTACTTCTTGCACATATCTTCGAGTGCTGGTGACTTCTATTATGCACTGTGTGTTCAGACACCTTTCTATTGCAGCCAGACTAACTTTTTCAGCATTTGAGCTACAGTAGCTCTCCTATTGGATGAGACTACGCAGGCCAGCTTTCTCTTTCCACGTGAATCCATGAGACCTTTGGTGCCCATGATCCTGTCAATGGTTCACTGGGTTTCCTTCTTCTGACCACTGCGGACCAGGAATACCCCACAAGACCTGCAGTTTTGGAGTTGCTCTGACCCATCACTATTTGTCCCTTGTCAAAGTTGCTAAAATCCTTACACTTGACCATTTTTTCCACTTCCAACACATCAACTTCAGGGACAAAATGTTCACTTGCTGCCAAATAAATCCCACCCACTTCCAGGTGCCATTGTAACAAGATAATCAATGTTATTCACTTCACCTCTCAGTGGCATGTCCCACCCCCAAATTCAATACCTGAATTTGACATGGTATAAGCCTCCTGCAGTCCCTGTACAGCAAGGCTGAAGTGTGAGAGGAAGTAGAAGCAGAAGGGGCCAATCAATTCATGTACTGACAAGAAGCATGCTGCTAGGAAGAGAAAGCAGAATTAAAGAGATGAGCTCATCACTGTTCTGCTTCTCCTTTCACTGTCTGGTTGCAGGCTCCTGGACTCAGAGGAAGTGGTTTAAAGATTCTGGCTATTAGACTTAGGACATCCAGTGGTAAAAATAAAAGTACTGTGGGGAAAATATCTGGACTGAATGTAAATTATACAAAAAAGACGTTTTGTTTTTCTTTTAAAGCTAAACTCTGGGATTTTTTTAAAAACACCCTTGCAGTTCTGAGTCCAGCTTTCATTGGCTATTTTCTACTTGTTATTTTTGGAGTTCTGTTTTAACAAACAGCAATAAATAAACTCACCATTTTCATTGAAAAGAAGGTTCAAGAATGATGATGCTGAGGACCCATAAATAGAGTTGATGTTATTGTTGTTGTTCAACTAAAATTCTTGTTCATATCTTGCTGCTGATATGAAAAAAGGAAGTCTCCCTCTATATTTCAGCCGAGTTCCTCCTTGTCAAGACACACATATCCAGCTGTTCTCTACTAAGTTGCAGCCCTAACAAATTAGTCATGACACCTCTAAATCATTGCTGAGTATTAAACTACATATTAAAGATCCACCTCTACCTGAACAATTTTGTTCAGAACGTAGGTTCTCCATACACTGGCAAGAAACTGCCACCTCTAAGAAGAGTGTGCACAGATTTTTGCTTATTAGGTGCCCAACATATTACTCATGGGGCTCTTTCTAAGGTTATGTGAGATATCCCATTTTTGAGATGACACCACAGTGTTGGAAATAGAATTTGATGAAGAAAAAAAGAATAAATACTTGCATGACTGACTCAGAGTAAGCAGTCTACAGAATGGACCTCAGATGGCACTTCTTCTGACCTATGTCAACATTGCCAGATAGGTCAGTGTCTAGTTGTATTGGCCCCTTTATCTGCACTGAGATAAGGGGGGCATTCTTCCTACAGACCACTAACGTAATGGGGCAATCTTTCCACTGACCACCAAAGTAACAGGGCATTCTTCCCATAGACCACCAATGTGACTGGGATTCACTATCCAACAACCAATGTAATGGAGCATTCTTTCAGCTGACCACCAATGTCAAGGGACATTTTTCCTTCCACTGACAACTGATATAAAGGGGCATTATTTCTCTTGCTAACAACCAATGTAAGGGATCATTCCTCATCCACGGACCACCAATGTAGGGGGTTATTCTTTCTCCAACAGGCCACCAATATAGGGGGTAATTCTTTCTCCACCAATATAAGGGGTTATTCTTTCTCCAACAGGCCACCAATGTAAGGGGTTATTCTTTCTCCAACAGGTCACCAATGTAAGGGGTTATTCTTTCTCCAACAGGCCACCAATGTAAGGGGTTATCCTTTCTCTGAAAGGCCACCAATGTAAGGGGTTATACTTTCTCCAACAGGCCACCAATGTAAGGGGTTATTCTTTCTCCAACAGGCCACCAATGTAAGGGGTTATTCTTTCTCCAACAGGCCACCAATATAGGGGGTAATTCTTTCTCCAACAGACCTTCAATATAAGGGGTAATTTGTTTACCCAAAGCCCACCAATGTAAAGGGTCTTGCTTTCTCCAACAGGCCGCAGATGTAAGGGGTTATTCTTTCTCCAACAGGCCACCAATGTAAGGGGTTATTCTTTCTCCAACAGGCCACCAATGTAAGGGGTTATTCTTCCTCCAACAGGCCACCAATGTAAGGGGTTATTCTTTCTCCAACAGGCCACCAATGTAAGGGGTTATTCTTTCTCCAACAGGCCACCAATGTAAGGGGTTATTCTTTCTCCAACAGGCCACCAATGTAAGGGGTTATTCTTTCTCCAACAGGCCACCAATGTAAGGGGTTATTCTTTCTCCAACAGGCCACCAATGTAAGGGGTTATTCTTTCTCCAACAGGCCACCAATGTAAGGGGTTATTCTTTCTCCAACAGGCCACCAATGTAAGGGGTTATTCTTTCTCCAACAGGCCACCAATGTAAGGGGTTATTCTTTCTCCAACAGGCCACCAATGTAAGGGGTTATTCTTTCTCCAACAGGCCACCAATGTAAGGGGTTATTCTTTCTCCAACAGGCCACCAATGTAAGGGGTTATTCTTTCTCCAACAGGCCACCAATGTAAGGGGTTATTCTTTCTCCAACAGGCCACCAATGTAAGGGGTTATTCTTTCTCTGACAGGCCACCAATGTAAGGGGTTATTCTTTCTCCAACAGGCCACCAATGTAAGGGGTTATTCTTTCTCCAACAGGCCACCAATGTAAGGGGTTATTCTTTCTCCAACAGGCCACCAATGTAAGGGGTTATTCTGATATTGATATATATTACTTGGAATATTTTTTTTGTATAGAGGAGGGGTGTCAGGTAGTGCCAGGTACGCCACTGCACCTATCAGTTCGATGTAATGTTGCCTTTTTTTATAGTAATTATGCTGCATGTTTCAATCCTAAATAATTTTTACTTGATTTATATGCACCATACGGGTCATATGCATTATGTAAAGGGTATTGGAAATAAGTATTTGGGGAACAAATTTTTGTTTTCTTTTTTCTCCTCTTATCTCTATAGGATCAACTCAATGGACTTGTGTCTTTTTTCAACCCGACTATGTAACCCTAGGGGCCGCATCAATAAGATCCAGCCCGAAACATAACACCATCTTACCAACATAAATCTGAACATTAAAAGGTTTTAATGTCTTCACAGAACCCTGAAGGTGAATGGGGAATACTGTTTTACTCCTACAACAGATTGAACTGCGAACGCCAGCATGACATCAGCCACATAGGGTACATGAAATCTAATTTACCTTCCCTGTGTTTCCATAGTATTAATCAGATGAGATGAAATAGCTTGACATAACATCACTTAGGTTGCTCAAGCAAGGACATATAGAAAACTCAATTAGCTGAGCCAAGGGATGCTTCCACAGCATCAGACAGACTGCAAGCTATTTAATTATTTAAAAATGTGCAGCCCATATGTGTTCAGTTGAAGAATGACCTGCAATGCCTATATGATAAAAATAAAAGAGAGAAGAATGTACGATGAGAAGACATAGTGAAGACATGGATGTGATGACAGTGGGGAATGTGTTGAATGATCACTAGTTGGAGATGATGACACAATATAGGACCAAGAAAAGGCTCATAAAGATGTCATGCTGAATGCTGTGATGGAGCAGCGTGCCCCAGGATCGATCCAGCAGCACATCACATCCCGATCCTTCCTCGCTGACATCTAGTATTCCACACACTGGGAATGACGCTGGGGGGAGGAGCCACGCTGGGCCCGCCCAAGGCTCATAGACACACGGCTGGTGACACACAATAGAGAGGCCGAGGTAACACAAGGGAGAGCTGAGCTCCGGGATCCTGGAGCGGAGACACGATCGAGTGCTGGGACGTGATCAGCACACAGAGGTGACCTATTCTACAAGCAGACATACACAAGGAGGGATAGAGCGAAGAGATCTGGTAGGACAGACCTTTCAATGATCAGAACACCGAGGACATGGATACACATACACTGCCTCCATTAATTCAGCCTGGGATACAGTGACATCTTGTCATCCCCGGGTACAGACAAAGCACCCTCTTGTCCACTTGGAACCTTCCCTGATCTTCATGTGAAGCCCTGTGGTCACCCAATTGCACAAACTGGATGGGAAGCCCCTGGTGTCTTACTGGATGAACAGGTTTTTCTGGAGACCAATGGTGCTTCTGGAAGCCTCATGCTGAGTCTCCTTGGTGAAGTGTCCCATAGGGGCCGGGGACAGGATGCTGGAGCCAGCGGGGTTCGCAGAGGCGTGGCGAGCGCAGTTTCCAGACGCGGAGCCGCCGCACATGGAGCTGCGCACAGTGCGGGACATGGAGCAGGAGTTGGAGAGGTGCAGGGTCACCGTACGTAGGCTGGAACGGGAGTTGAACCGGGAACGGTTTCGTATGATCTACCTGCAGACTTTGCTGGCCAAGGAAAGGAGAGGTTACGACCGCCAGCGATGGGGCTTTGAGGTGAGGGATCCACCCGGAGGGGGAGAGGAGAGGCCGTTGGGTTCGAGTCGAGAGGAGAGAGTCTTAGGTCCTGGTAGAGAAGAAAGAAGCCCAGAGGAAAGGACTAGAGGTCCGGGCCGAAGGGAGCCACCTGTTGGCGCTCCTGACCTGTCTCCTGGGGATGTGACGCGGGGTCCCCGGCGACTGTTAAGCTTGACAGAGAAAGATGGGCCAGAACCCCGATCAGACCTGCTTAGAAGGGCCGCTTCTCACCCTGAAGGTAGCCCAAGAGCCCTCCAACCTGTAGAATCTCGCAGAGGCCGCTCTTCAGATAGCAGTTGTGGCTGGGATGGAGAGTATGAGGAAGCTGACTTGAACCCTCGCTTTCTTCGGGATAATGCACTACCAGGTCCTGGCAATCGTTGGGGGGAAGCCTGGCCACGTCGATCTGTCTCACCTCAGAGTTTTGAGGACCTTGGGGGAGGGTATACACCAGACTGCAGCTCCAATGAGAACCTGACCTCAAGTGAAGAGGAGCTGTCCTCGGGCCCTTCTGGGCGGGTGTCCCCTCGGGGTCTTTGGGGTCGTTCCCCTCCTTCGCCTGGCAGTGCAAGCCCTCCCACCCCACAGGCTCCTGCCCGCCAATGCCAGCTGAGAGTGTCTGAGGCTGCAATAGTTGGAGTAAGGCGTAGTGGGCAGATCTGGCCAAGCTGTGTAGAGCCTTCTTCAAGGGATGGAAGCTTCCATGGAGATGGAGGTAAGAAAGAACAGATGCCTTCATTATTTCTCAAAAATGTCAGCATGTCTTGCAACTTTTTGTATACGTGCGCCCTTTTGATAACAATAGTGTGCTCCAACTCACACATAGCAGTAACGTTTCACTTTAACAAATTTACAAGGTACAAGTTGTGACCTGCACAAAAAAAAGATAACAGCAGCAGCTATAAACCCTAAGGTTTCTGTTTCAAAAATTTGAGTTTTATGACTATTGTCGGCCATAAACTATAGATGGCAATCGGTCCTCAGAAAAGGAACTGACTGCCAAAAGAGGTTTTGTGTGGGTGATTATCAACGTTTTAATATAAACAGGCTTATCCTTAGCCAACAGCCGTGCATGTTTTAAGCATTAGCATACACTCCTGGACCAGTCTTGTAATAAGTAATTTCAGCATCTGGTTAGTCAACCGACCAGATGCTGAACATTTCCAAGCAAACTGGTAGCCACCACCATAGCTTTATTGAAGATGGCTGCAGCGGTTGTTTATCGACAAATACCTTCCTGTTTTTCTTTAGCCAGAGCACTGTGCAGCTTTTTTTTCCCCAAATACTTTTAAGTTTTCTTGCACAGAGAGAGAAGAACGATTATGATTTATAATTACGAAAGCTAATCTGGGAAGCCATGTTATTTATAAATGCAGTTAATTATACCTCCACCATAACCCTATAATATATGGGTCAGTGACTGGTTTAGTTTGCTGGGCCGGTGACTTCCTTGCTCCTTTTTTTATTAGTGGTGGGGGGAGTTAGGATTTACATGCACAGAATAAAGAGCAGCTCTGGTATATGTTTTATGGCATCTTAGTGCCCAACTAGGTAGAGAAATATAGAATGACCCCCCCCACCCACCCCCTTCAGAACAGTGCACATCTCCTCAATCATGTAGGTTGAGGAGCACTGCACTGGCAAGCTGCTAACGTACTGCATAAACTTTCTGTATAAGCTGCACTTTACAAAAAGTATCCGTCTCCATAGAAAAAAATTAAGGAACAAATATAATGTACAGACATGTGACGAGTTAATGGGTGTTAATTTAACTTGCCCCCAGCCATACAGCTTTTACATCTAGCACCGAGTTCCCCCTATCATCAGCTGTCTTTCTGTGTCTAAGATGACACATTTTGGATAGGAGCCTGAAGCTACAATATGCAATCTGATTGTACAATGTTTACATGTACCAAAATGGTGTAATATGATGACAAACCTAAACAATCCATTCAATTGTATCTGGTTAGGAAGGCCCTTGTACTACACAGATTCTTTAGTGCATGGCCAGCTTTAAAACTGAGCTGCAGGCAGGTAAACCACAGTTTAATCCAGGTTTGTATTTGTTAAAAAATACATTTATTTTTACATAAGACTAGCAAAATGCATGCCTCTGTCTTGGTATCCACCCCATGTAATCTGCACCACAGCACACTGGGAGAGGGAGCTCTGAACATACTCATTGGAGTGTTGAGCACAGTAATGATCTCGTCAGTTTTCTTCTGTGTCCTAATTGTGTAGTTATGGGCTGGAGTGGATCCTGGACCAAGCTGTATTGCTTTTCTGCAGTAGAGCATGCACAGGTGCCCAGGATCTGGCTGTGCTCTCCGGAAGGGCTGCCTAAATCACTAGCCTGGCAGAGCAGAATTGCAAATCCTTTAACATTTAGAACTATTGACTTCTACAGTGTGTAATTTAAACTGTGTGCTACCTTGACGTTTTGAGCTTTTGTTTCAGATTTTCGCTGTTAGCTGTTGGCACAATTCAGGCTCTATGTAATGTGAGGCCCTACCTGGGCAATACTTTCAAAAAAACAAAATCAGGTACACCCTTTGTACTGTGCAGTTTAAAGGAGAACTATGAGGTGAGTGCTTTTCACTCACCTCATAGTTCTAGCCGACCTGTGACAATGAAACTGTCACAGGTCGGCTCAGTAGATCGGGAGGTGAGCGAACACATAGCGGCGTTCGCTCACCTCTCGATCCTGTCACGGCTCTCTGCCGTGACAGGGGAGGAGCTGGATTCCCCCCTCCCCGCTCTGATCCGCCAGCGCTGACTGGCGGAACGGATGGGGCGGGTACAGCTGGCTCTGCCTCTAGATAGGCAGAGCCAGCTGTCAGTCACGCAGCTGGGCGGATCCAGACATAATTGTCGGGATCCGCTTCAGCTGCGGCGCCTTAGTATACCGCGAGCAGCAACTCGTGGTATACTGCGGCGTCTCAGTATACCGCGAGCTACTGCACGCGGTATACTGAGCCTAGGGTGACGGAGAACTATGGGGAAAAGCCTTAACCCCATAGTTCTCCTTTTAAGGTAGGTTATCTGGTGATAACAGACCTGGTCTGAAATACATTTGGTTTTTTTTTATGGCTGGCATTAGCAGTATCTTCTGACCTCGGTCAGAGTGCAAATTAAATGTTGTAATCCTGGGCAGAGTGCAGGAACACGTGTCTGATTAACACCCTGGATTCCCTTCAGCCAGCCAGACATTAAACATCTCTACAGTGTTCTGAAATACATATAAACTCAATACATACACATCCAGAGGTGCCTGCACATCCCTTGAGATATATTTATAAACACCTTGAGGGTAGTGATGAGCCTGGGTTTGGTGAGAACACAGTTCACCTGAGTTAGACCAAGCCCACTCAAAACTGTTACTGCCACCCATCCCCTTCCAACCCAATCCGTTGTGGTAGGGCACATTCCTCACAGAGGGTCAGGGAATGGCCACTAATTGGGCCAGGAGGGGGGTGGAGGTCACAGATTTGAGCTTGTGAACTGGGTTTGCACCAAGCCCAGGTTCTTCTCTACTTGGGAGTTACAATCCCTGGGGTGCTGTCATCCCATGAAGTTGGTGCTAGGTTCCACCCTCTATCACCGCATTAATCTTTTTACTGATGTGATGGATGGCCTGGCTAACTAAGGCCTCATTCACACAGGGAAAAGAAGTCAGGCTGCGTCCATACACCTTGCCTCTAGGACCAATCATATGTCCCTAACCACAGGTAATAACTTCATGTGCGATTACATCTGAACCACAGATGGACAGCTGTCACCGCTCAGAGTGTACAAAGCAATGACAGGCTGAGAATTGCCACAGCAGTCATGTACCACTTGTGCTTCCTGCTGCAAGAATCCACAACCGGACCTCTTTTCCGCCTGTGTATGAGTCCTATTAGTGAGGCTCAGGAGGTGACCCAGGGCTGGACTAATGTACACATGAGACTGGGAGCTTTATATAGTAATAGCTGAGTAAGCAGGAAATTTGAGCAGCATGTGGCCCTGCCGACACTACCCCTTTTGGCAAAAGTCGATTTTACAGTTGACTTTTCTCAGTGGAGCTGGGCCGGAAAATGTCAGATGAATAGTTACTGCAGTCAATCAGATACTGTCACTATTTGAGTATTCTGACAGCTGTGAGTTTCAGCTGGATCGTCAGGATACAATAGCCAGCCAGGATACAATAGCCAGTAAGTGGGGATTTCCCTATCCATGCCTAGTGTATGGCCAGCACAGAACATGTGAAAGCAGCAATTAAAAAAATGTTATGCTATGTGAATAAGAAACGTATAACAAATATAAATATAATTTGCCTGCAAAAGTAGAAACACACTTTAAGCACTGACTTCATGAGATTAAGTTGATATTTGAGTGGCCCATGATTCATGGCTTACAGGCTGCTCTGAGGAAAACCCAAGGTATGTTCTGGATGGCTGCAATGAACTATTTTATTTGTATTTGAATATTGATATGTTTTCTAATAGATTTTTTAATAAAAAATAGTGGAAAACCCCTTGTAGGCCAAGAGTTTGACCTTTGTAAGAAGGTCAAACCAGAAGCTACCAGAAAGTGTATTTATCCACCAAGTGCAGACCAGAGCAATTACAGAACGCATCAAAATGCATTCAATGTATTCCAATGGTATTTTGGGCTCTAGTTCACACCACAGCGTTCAGTTCCAGAGCATGTGAAAAAACTGCAGTATGCCCTATTTTTTCTGCTCTGGAACGCACCAAACCACATGCAAACGCATCAAAAGCACACGGAAACTGCCTGGAATGCACTGAAAGCCCATTTTAGGCTACAAAAAAAAAAAAACGGACCGGAATGCAGCAAAAACGCTGCAAAATGCTCAGCGCTGCATATGCAGAAATGCATGCAGATCTGGTCCGGATTTGGTGAACAAGCCCTAAGGAACTGAACATGCCTCTGCATGAAGCTGGAGAGAACACTCCTTGATAGGAGGACGGCCCAGTCACATGACCCATCGGCTCCTATAAGAGTGTTCTTGGCAGCAATATCCAGAGAACACTCCAAGTTGCATATCACGCTCTGTAATTAATCTCCTGCTCCCCTTTTATTAAAATGAATGGAGTTTTGCTTTGTTCAGGACCTGAAGCAAGCATATGAGGGAGCTGTTCTTTATAAATATAACAGTGCCATTTTTTAACACAGTGGCATGGTCATGACAAGGCCTTCTGCTGCTTTATAATAAAAGAACTCTGGGTGACCCCTGCCTGGTTGTCTAAGCATGGGGGATTGTTAATCCCTGAGGTAACACTGATATGTTTCAGGGAGATGACTAGACAGAATAGAAGCAGAAGTTTTCATTGTGTGTCATCTGCTCGAAAATTGTTTCTGCATATTGAGGATCTGTTTACAGACGGTGGGGCTGTAATCACTATGTGGTCAGTGAACTCAGATAGGAGGCTTTAGAAATGCCAATGAGTAAACAGCCTGGGGCAGATGTCTGTGCATTGCAACCTGTGGTCAGGTCAAAAAAATATTATGGGCTGTAAGTAAATTATATTATTTGTTTCATCAGCAGTGTGATTACAATGTGAGGTATGCAATGGTCCCAGCTAGGTATGGAGGACACAAAAAAATATGTTGCATATTAAGCTAATTACAATTTTGTGGCACTCCTGCAAAGCACTGTTTAAGTGAAACAATATCCAATGTACGCCTAGTTTTGTGGTGAAGGGCTAGAAC